GGGGGGAGGGAATGGAGGTTCCACGAGAGCATGGTTGGTGCCCTCTTGGATTAGAGGGATCAGTGAAAAACCAGGATTTGGGGAAGGAGGGAGGTACAGTTGCATAAAACAAAGCCACTGATAGCAGGATGGTTTTGACAACATCGGGACATCTGATCACCCTAATTTGGACTGCCAGGCTGACCCCAAGTTGTAAATCTCTTGCGGGTGGGAGGAAATAACTTCGGAACCAGGGGCTCCACACACTGCTGTAGAGGGATCAGTGAAAAACCAGGATTTGGGGAAGGAGGGAGGTACAGTTGCATAAAACAAAGCCACTGATAGCAGGATGGTTTTGACAACATCGGGACATCTGATCACCCTAATTTGGACTGCCAGGCTGACCCCAAGTTGTAAATCTCTTGCGGGTGGGAGGAAATAACTTCGGAACCAGGGGCTCCACACACTGCTGATTTTCCAACATGGATTATTAGACAGTAGCCCTGGCCCGCAGGGAATGGTTATGGCTGTGACTTTTTCTAACCACCTCACTTTTACTACAGAGACCTATTAGGAGTTTTCACAACAACTTTTAGTGGCCTGGCAATGGAGCCCCTAACTTTTGCTGACAGGCACTTAGACAGTTTTTCCTAAAATACTTAATTTTAGGGGGAAAAATACATGTCCAAATCAGTGTAATTTATTTCTATAGGGAGTGTTGTATACTCAGTAATAAAAATACAGTTGTGTCTATTCATTACTGGATCTACACAGAATAGAAACATAAAGAAGGTGTTTGTAGATTCTTGTCTTTTTTTATTTCTTTTGATTCTTTGGTTGTTTTAGACTTGCTAGCTCGTAACTTTGCTTTCCTAAAAAGTGATACTGGTGTGTTAATATCACTTTTTTACAGTTTCCTGACTAGCTTCTAAAGTCTGCTGTGAAAAGTCACATTAACTGACATACAAATATCACTTTTCACTGCAGACTTTGTCCCCAAGTGCAGACCTGGTCTAACCCAAACTATGGTCTGCAGCTCCAGCTACATGACTAGCAGACTGGAGTTGACGCTCCTGTCGATTTCCCTTGCTCCTCATGACCTGGTAGAGTACCAGATTCAACAGGAGTATGATCAGCTGTCAATTTAGTGAGTTTTTACTAGACCCATTAAATTGCCCCCTAGGGAAGTCAATCTCTGCAGCTTCAATCTCTGGTAAGCGGAGACAAGGCTTTACTCAGCCACAGGAAGCTTGGGGTCAAATTAAGCACTGATGAGGAAGTAAGTAGGGAGACAGGAGCAATATAGGGAATGAACAGGAGCCCGGAGAGTCAGAGAGGACCTGGGGGTGCTGAGGGAGGCAGTGAGGGTCAGGGACAATGTGGTAAATGGGTGAGGGGACAGGGTGTAATGGGGGACAGCACCTACCTCTGCACAGTCAGGGTCTGAGCCTGAAGCCCTATGGATAGAGCCTGATGGCCAGCAAAGGCAGCAGGTCCAGGGGCAATGGGGAAGGGATGGTAAACTCCCCAGCTGGAGCCTGCTGCCTACCACCCCAAGGCTGAGGCCTGACCCTACCACTTCCAGGAAGATGGGGAATCCACTGGCTGGCTGCTCCTCCAATGTTTCTTCAGAGGAGGACAGGGTCTAAACCCCTGCTGGAGGGTCCAGTGGAGGAGCTGCCTTCTCCCTCCCTCCCCCACCCCATAACAACCCTTGAGGCCATAGGTGATAACGTCTTCTCTAAACAGGGTATTTGACCCACCCCAGGCCCCGTCCCCATTTCATCCTCTTCTCCAAGCAGCAGCCCACCTCTTCCCAGCCCTGCTCTTTCCTGCCTCTCTCCCTCCCTCCCCCAAGTGCACTCCATCCCTGCCCTTCCACCTCCTGGAGTGTCCTGCACACTGCAGAACAGTTGTACATGGTGGGCGAGAGGGGCTCAGAGCAGGGGGAGCAGAGGGTAGAGCTTGGCTGACAGCGGGTTCTGAACACCTGCTCATTTTTTCCATGGATGCCCCTGCCTGGAATTCCCACGTAATTGACACCTATGCAGGAGGCTGTAGCTGCAAGAAAAACCCTTGATGGCCACAGGAGGCCATGAGAGGTGCTTTGACAAATCCTGCCCTAGTTGGCTTCTTAAACCCAAATATTGGTGTAATAAGAGGAGGGCCTGAAACAAAAGTGCATGTTAGTTAGGCCTCATTCCAGGCCTGTGCAACAATGGACAAAACTTGGCTAATATAAAGCAAAGCTAAGCTGTGAGTAAGAGGCAGGCCCCTGCTCACAGAATCTGGCATGAATTGCGTTGAGGATGCAAAATATGAATTGGTAGTAGGCCCAGGTGTAGAACAGTAATTGGTACTGATTGTAAGTTGAAAGTACATTCCAGAGGATGGTACCACCAGCTCATTAAAAAAAGACCTTGGTACCCACACTCCCCATAGATACCAACCGAAGTTTAGGAAAGGGTCTAAACTGACAGTATGATGGTCAGAGATATTCTAATCGAACCACAAGGTGCAGGGGTGATGGGTGGTATATAAGCATCAGAGGGTTGTAGCCTGACACGTCTGGAGTGACGTGTAACTTGTTTGTACCTGTATATAAAGTGGTGATCAGGGGGAGGGCAGTGGAGGTCTCCCACTGATCAAGTCCGTCCATTGTTATGGGTTACATATGGATCAGTAGAGTCCTCTGACAACTATTACAGTACTTTGCTTAACTATAAACCTGTCTGGGAACCTTCAATCCTTATCTGATTTGTGGTCCTTGAGGGTTCTCTCAAAGTCTTCTGTGTTAGCTAATTGTTCAAGTCAACAAGGCACACATCTTTGAGCACACTCGCAAGCAGCCTTTTGGTTATCATCATTGATGGAGCAGGAACCCATTAGGACAACCTCGCCTGAATAGCTACAATAGGCTTCTGCTTTCAGAGCATATCCAGGCTAATTTGGGATTCTTGCTAACATTTATTTCAATGCAGGATGGCCCTTCACACACCGTCATTAAATTAAAATAGGGGATTTTATATACATTTTTCTGTCTCCCTAGGAGCTGCAAAATCCCCACACTACTAATTTCAAGGAATCATAAAACTGTGATCCTTTCTACCTCTAGTTCTGTTAGAGTGGCATTTTCATAACAGTAGGGTAAATTAATCCCAGACTAAATTCCCCTTGTGGATATAGGATTACATTGAATATTGTGTTTTTTGCTTCCTTTCCTATGCTGTTGCAACACATTGCTGAATGTGATTAAACAGTTGCTGCAATTCACTCCCCAAAAGATAGTTGCAGTGATTTTTATTTTGTCTGTTAATAATTGTAAAGCCTGTTGTGAGTCCATCTTTGGGTGGCAGTTGTCTAATTTAGTGCTTCCTTCTGCAAGGTGCTGAGCACTGTGAACTCCTGCTGCAGGCATGGATGCTCAGCACCTCGTAGGACTGGCCCTTTCGACTGTGTGCTCTTTGAAGCCTTCTAGATCATTTCCAGTAACGACCTCAACAAAGCAGAACCAAGTATTGCATGCTCAGCAAACAGCTTTTGCTGAGTCCTAAATAAAGATATATTTATGCAAGAAAAGAAACAATATTTTATCAACATCTCCTGAAACTTCTCCCACCCTACTGGGGCAGATTTTAATACTACAGGGGCAGTGTGAAGTAGCCTTAAATGTAAATAAGAATCTGGGCCCAAATTTGCAAATAGAGGGTAAAACACAATTTAAATACATACATTTCCTTCCCCAAAGTGAAGACTGCATCCTTCAGCAGTAATTGCTTAAGGCAATGTATTTTGCCCTGGATCTGAAGCAACACTTAGCACTAGCACTTTTCTGGTTGCAGCAATCAGTATTTTATGAGAACATTAACTGGAGAATGGTCTATGGCAGTGTTTCTCAAAGTGGTCTGCGAAACCACGTTGAGAAACTGTTAACTAGCTGTACAGGTTTGTTTACTTACTAGTGCCACAGCCACGGAGCTTCACAGCTCCTATTGGCTCAGTTTCGCTGTTCGCTGTTTGCAGCCAAGGGGAGCTGTGGGAAGCCATACCAGTGTGGCCAGTTAGCAGACCACTTTGAGAAACACCGATCTATGGTAAGGCTCATGAGCCAGGTCTGATAGTTTTTGACAGTGGATGGCAGTAAAATGTTTTCAGATTTATAAATGGAGCTTGGGTAACAATACAACAGTTAAGATTGTTTTGAGAATATGCATCATCATATTTTACAAATGTACTTTTACTTAAGGGATTGGCTGCACTCCACAGTTACAATTTTTACTCCCTTGTACTTTAATTTTTCATACTTACTAATTATCGGTCATTCCTTTGTATACAATAGCAGCAACGTTCACTTAAAGTCACCACACACTTGTCTGCTAATCCACAGGATATCTGCAATCTTAGTCAACTGCCAACTATGGTATGAAGTTATGAAATTGGTAATGGCTGGGTGACTAATGACAAATGTTGCAATTGTACATAAAAGTGAACATTGATATTTGCATGTGCCACAAGATTGTGAAATAGTGAAATCATAGAAAAGAGTTGAAAGGCACTTACTGTGCAACTCCATACTGAAGTTGCTGGTAACAATTCCATAGTAAAAAGCTGAGGTAAATTCTGAACTTTAAAGCAGAAGTTCATCATTTGTTATTTATTCCTTGGAGAATTCTGCATGAGAGAGAATCCATGTCAGAAAAATGGGGAAGCAAAGAATTCAGTGAGAAACAAACACCCCTTTCTCAGCAGCCTGGATGCATCCGTTTGAGTTCCCGGAGCAACCAACAAAGATATAAATCAGCATACAGGGCACTGGGCATGTGTGCTTGAGGAGATATCATTTATCTCTAAGGCCTGGGGGCAAGGACTGGTGAGCATACATCCATGCAAGTGAGCAATACTC